TTCTAACATAACCTAACCAACATATGGGCCGCGTCCCATATACTAAACTGCAGCCCTAAAATCTATACTTTTTATAAAACTATCTTTTCGGATTATTTCGCGGATTTATTTTGATTTTTGGTTCCCGACGTTTCGAATGCTTTACAGCATCCATGGTCACGGGAGAGACTGAGGTGTTACATGTCTTGAAGGTATAGTTGTTACAGACAGCCTACCCACAATGAACAAAATGAAAATTGCACCAATTACATTACAATATTTTTTAACTTTAAATATTTTTATAATTTTAATTATAATTGAATATGGAAAATTATTTATTTAATTTTTGCTGTTATTATTATAATTATTACAATTTTAAAAATATTAATTAGTAATCTATATTTAGTGTTGCCATTATTAGGTATATTTATAACCATAAAGAAAAATATAAAATATAGTATTGATTACTTAAGCCATATAATTGTTCTATGTGTAATTTAAAAAGTTAAAATTAATTAAGGATAATAATTTTAATTTAGTCTGCTATTATTTAAAAAGACAAATTACTAAGCAACACTATTGCTATATACTTTTACAAATGAAAAATATTAATCTGACATGCTGTCATTTTGATCCACACAGTAAGAACTTAGTACATCTACCTGTCTGGTATGTACTGTTGGCATTATTACGTTATTGAAGTGAAACTTCTTTAGAATCGTTGTGATTTGAAACTCGATGAAACGGAAATGCGACACGAGAAAGAGCCAAACATTTAAATATATTAGGATTAAGCCGGCGAGAGAATGAGATAGAATACATTGCCATGTTGCCATGGTAACCTTTGGTGTTATCTGACAAATATACCTATAATATTATATTCTTTCCGTATATGATATGTTATAAATATATGATTGTTATATGCCTTATATGCCGTATTTAGTTATTGATTTGTTCTAATTTAATTCCGATATTTTCCAAAGAAGTTTTACTTCAACCGCACGTAAAGAGAACACGAAGCATTTTTTTGTAAGTCCTATCTTTTTCTATCTATACATATAATAAAATTTTAACTGACAAATTGAATATGGACATTAAATATTTTTTGGAAAATCTCATTGAAATGGCCATAATTATCCGAAATCTATAATTTCTAGAATTTTTATGTCTGTCGCTGTCTTTGTGTCTGGGAACGCATCACGAGAAAACTACTGAACTGAACATATAAGATACTTTTTACTGCGTGAAAATATCTCTCATCTTTGAGAAATCTATACTAACCGTTAAAACGTTTCTAAGGACGAACTCGAGCGGAGCGAGGATGAGTCGCTAGTAATATATAATATAAAACAATATAATTTAATTTATAACACTTTAAGTACAATCATTTTTGAATTCTTTATACAGGGCGTTCTTATTACACTTTAGGCTAATTACTATATGGTGTTAGTGTATTTAACATTAATTTATGAAATCTATTCAATTACTTATGCATAAAATATAACATCCTTGTAAGTGAAAGTCAAAGATTAATTAGCACTTTTATATAATTATACCCGTAATTTGGATCTCATATAAATTATTCACAGCTAGTCAACTTCTTTAATATAATGGAGATGGATATATTATAGCCTTTAGCGGTTTGTCAATTAAACTGTATTACAAGGGTTAATTTACGTTCCTTGATAGAGTATTCGGTAAATACATATTTATTACAGTACAGATAATACAAGCTTAATTTATAAACGTTACGATATTAATAAATAATTTTTGAACGACTATCGTTTATACAAATAATACTTGTATAGATACATATGTATGTAAGTGTTACTTATTATTGAGGAAGTTCGTATTAGGTACTGGGTTTTTATAAAGTGTATATAGTTACATTCTGATAAAAAATAGGAATCTATCTCTCTACACTAAAAACGTTTATAATGTATGTTGCAATAATTTATATTTCTACAATGTGTTTTTTTTTAATATAAAAAATTATAAATATTTTTGGGAAACAAATAGTCCAATCTAGACTTTTAGTTTTAATCTCTGGACTCTGTCTTTCAAAGATCGTGCATCAAGTAAAGTCAGGACATTTTTGTCCTATGGCTTAGCTTAAGTGTACCTTAATTAGTCAAGTTTGATAAATAAAATAATATAAATATATATTTTTTTTAAGCCCCACTTTGTAATCATATGTAAGGCGGAGTACTTGTACATTTTATATACGATTTTTTCCTATGAATTAAAAATATATGGAAAAATATAACGAATTAATATGAATAATAAATAAAAGTTTAAATTTTATCTAAAAAACAGTTATGAAAACTTACTACATATATACGTATACATAAGCTTTACGTTTTAACGAACAAATAAATTTTCGTTTCCTAATTATTTAAAAAGTATATAAATATTTCTGGCAATCCTCTGCCTTCAATGAAAGCCAATTCAATTGAAAGCGTCGCTATCGCCCTTTACATCGGTTTCGATCATTATTTATTGATGTTTGTGTGAAATAAAATTATTATACATTTCAGTTTCTCCAATAATTGCAACGTGGTGTGCGGTCGTGCGAGTGCCGTAAGGGTAATTGTCCATCGCACCTATATGGAACACCTCTTACTGCTCTACGTGTTGTCAGATCGACTCTTTTTTCTTAACTACATAATATAAATTAAAGTCTCCCTGAGTTTATGTTTTTTCGGTTTTTTCTCAGAAAGTACGGATTTTTATGTGGTTTTAAGCAAAAGAATTGTTTGGGAAATTGTTATTTTGTAGACTATAGTTAATAAATATATTAAAGAAATAAGCTACTAATATGATGATATTTGTGATTTAAATAGAGAAAAACCTCTTCTGAAAACTTCCGTATATTAAAAATGCAAAACAAAATAGTTTTCAAAACAGGGTGGTGTGGTAGGAGAGTAGCCGATTTTTATATCGGGGATCGTGGTATGACTTCCGCTCGGGACAAATATTTGCTAAAAAAATATTAACTGCCTGTCACCTACATATGTTTTGAATGCCTTTGATAAAACATTTTTAAGGCTTGTTTTTATTATAGCTTTAAAGCATATCTATTCCCATAAATTCTAACAAAAGCATCACAGTGACACCTTACTCCGTTTTCCATCATTTGTATACCAACAAAACGCGTGCTTAATATTGGGCAGCGCTTTATTTGTTCAAGGAGTATTTCAAGGAAAAATATTTAAATATCATTTGATTTAATGTATCAAAATTGCAAATTGAATTATCACACTTTACTACTACTAACAATGAAATAATTAAAATTTTAACAAACGGCATACATTAATCGTGTTAAAAAGACTAGATATTTCTGATTTAGGATATATTGAATAAAACAAACAAGAAATGAAAACTTATAGAAGAGCTATATTTTAGTTGAAGAGCTATATTTACATGTTTTTGATGGATTTTTATATAAAAAACTAAAGCTAACACAGGAATCTCTTAATGTACTTGAGCTAAACGTTAACTAATTTACTTTCCGATTGATACTCTATGTAAAAAATACCTCGCCGATGTACTGTCCGGTTACTGCTTAAAAAAGGACCAATAAGCCAATAAATACAAATTATTAAGGATGATAAGGTAAACCAATACATAATTATATTCATTGCGATATTTTGCTTTATACGTTCGGTGGACGTTTATCGCAACCGGTTGCACGAGCCGGTGGTTACTTAATTGCGTCGAATTCATTTGCCCGCACTTGCTTTGTTTGCCAATATTGGATTCCGGAAAAATAGGCCGTGTTTTTCCAATTCTTTCGATTGGTAATGAATAATAAGCGATATTTATTTGATATTATTTTGCTGTTTTACAGCTGAATACTTTTAATAAAGATATTAAAAGTATAGGGTAAACAAAGATGTGGTAAATTTAACTTTGATGCAGTAAAAAAAGTACTGCTTTGATTGACAAAGAAGGTTTTTTAAAGTAAATAGTATCTATTTTTTTTAATTCACGCTTTTTCTTATAAAGTACGAAAGTTCGGTAGCTTTTTTTGGCCATGGTTCGTTAGTAATAACTTGTCATTATTACCTACTAGTATTGAATGCATGTTACCTCTTACCAAATAAGATATGTTATGTAAAAATCTCGTACATCTTAAAACGTAAGGTTGCACTTTAAACACGAGACAAGCATATTAATGAATTTAAAAAAGAAAAAGTACATGCGAGAAACAGGTTTAGAAGCCTTGATTCTTCGGTGAAGAAATTGCCAAATTACTTAAGATTATTGTGGGTGATCTTTCATTATGTTTTAATCAAACACAGCGGGCAGCCACGATTTATGAGGGCTGAATAAAGAAATCAAGTGTCAGAATTACAAGTCGCAGGCGCAAATAATTCCTTCATTCATTCTCACTTTGATCATCGTCTCTTCACAATTTGTCTCCCTTTTATATGAGGGTGAGTCGACACACAATGTTCTACTTAAGAGTGTTTCATAGAATTATAGCCTTTGCATATCTAATTTTAAAGGTGAATATAGTATCAAGGGACACTTCAATGATTGAGCGAAGGGCGATTTCAATGCACACTACATTAAGCTCAAAATGACTTTTGTGAACTCTTTAGCGCGATGTTGTAATATTATATTTTCTCTTTGTACAGACTGTCTCGATTTGAGAGTTTTTAGGCGTGTCGTTTTGAGACATTCGTATGCACAACTTTTAAAGGTCGAATTATAGTGACAGTAAGTTTATATTGACATTTGTACAGTTTATTAATTAAATAATATATTTAGTAGATGATTTACTGATAAAAAAATGGTATTTATATGAATATATAATATTTAAAATATTTGAATATTGACAGGCTATTTAACAGGACAGGATATTTAAGTGTGCGATGCTGCGAAGGACCTTAGAATAGCAAAAAATAATGACGTCTCCATGTATTAAATAACTTTTATGGTTGCTCTGTCATTGTATTGAGCATAAAATATAATTTATAAGAATAAACAAAAGAGATTTTATTGCATTTGGACTACTTCCAATTGCATCTTTTACATTTTTCTAAGACAGGCAGAATTAGAAGACTTATTACGTCTCCCTTTTCATGTTCATTTTCATGTTTGTCTATGTATTTAAAAAAATATATATTTCTTAAAATATACAACTTATTCAATAATTTTATACATAACTTTGCCTTAAAAAAGCAGCGTAGCGTTGTGATTGTAAAAACAACAATGGCGTGTATTAAAAAACGTCCGTTCACTCTTATAGTGCACAAAACAAATGCTCCTTAAAAATCGAAATTTTCCTTTACACGAAAAACACCTTTATTCTGTACGTATAAATACGAAAATAGCATGAAATGAACTACTGTACGTTAATAATACCTATAGAAACATTAAAATGCATACATCAGAACACGTCAGGACATTGACGTTTTTACCGAAGCTGAAATTTAGCATACGCATTAACAATTTATAGAATAAGATGTATTTTATAAAAAATACCTTTAAAATTTAATGTGGATAATACTTTCTTAGATTTACGCGAATATTTCATATAATAAATAAAACTATCTTTTCGGATTTTGTCGCGCATTTATTTGGATTTCGGATCAAAAATTTCGGGTTTTGGTTCCATTTTTGGAACCAAAAATCCAAATAAATCCGCGAAAAAATCCGAAAAGATAGTTTTATTTAAAATTTAATGTGGATGTCTGACTGATTGTTAGTTTTTCGGTTTGGAACTTTTTTCAATTTTTTCAATTAGTTACATGAATGAGCGTGAATTAGTTACATGGATACGGAGAGTGACATCGCTATATTTTTTTGACCGACTTCAAAAGAAAGACGTACTCAATTGGGTTGTATGTTTTTTGTGTAGGTTTCACCAATTTGGTCTATATTTTCGCCAATTCTGAACTCTGACTTTTTTTTTTTTTTTTTTTTTATCTCTATTTTTATTTAGGGACTTTTATCCTTTTCGGACATGTCAGTCCCATCATATCTTAACCTAAGTACAGCATCACATATATATTATGGAAAAAGGGAAATAGATTCAATGTTGCAAAACCATATCCACCAAAATTTTAACAACATCAATACTTATTGGGTTCGCTAATATACTTAAGTATGGTCCAATATCATATCTATTAATATTAAGTTTTTGCATTATTGATTCCCTCTCCCTTTGATGTTTAACACATTCTACAAGGATGTGTTGAACATCGTCTATCATGTTACAACTACTACATAAGGGTGAATTTACCTTTTTCATAAGGTACGCAAATTTATTTGACGGATAATGTCCAGAACGCAGTCTATGTAAAACAACAATATATTTTCGATTTAGTTTAATGTTAAAAAACCATGGTACTCGAGGAGGCTCACACTGTATAGTTTTGTACCAAATACCCTTTTCTGTGCTTCTTTCGTCGAAATATTCTTTAAATTTTTTACAACAGATAATTTTAAATTTATTAAGTATTTCAGTGTAATAAGGCAAAATATTAAATTCAACTCCTTCCGAAATGGCTAGCTTAGCTAACTTGTCAGCTTCCTCGTTACCACTTAAGCCTATATGAGATGGAACCCATTGCAATCTTAGATTTATTTGAGAGTTATTCAGCATGTGTATCCTTTTTAACACATTGTAGGCTATCGGTATACCTCTGCTATAACCAGAGGTGCACCGAGCCAAATGCTCTAAAGCGCTTTTGCTATCGGTGAGTATAACAAAATTTCCATAATCAAAATTCCTTATCATATAGTTAATTGCTTCTAATATTGCAAGGAGTTCCATGGTCATAATTGACACTGGAGCGTCTACTTTTAACATACTAGATATTTGGTTTAATGGATCATAAAAGGCAGCACCGAGTTTATCATTCTTTTTTGCTCCATCGGTAAAGATTTTAAACCAATTTGGATACTTCCTGTTTATTTCATTTAAAATGTCAAATTTAATATAATTCTCTAAATTCTTTTTCGATTTTTTAACGCAATCTAAATTTAAGCTTATAACATTATTTAAACCTATATAGCTCAACCATATATCTAACTAGCGGCTCACCCTCGCTTCGCTCGGGTTCGTCGCTAGGTACGTTTTAAATAGATATAAAAAGAAAAAATCTTTCTTTCTCACATTTTAATTATATGTTTTAATACTTACCTATTCCGGACTAAGAGAAATCCAAAAATTAAAATATCATAAAAATTGGAACGCGGTCGAACGGGATAAAAAGTATCCTATGTCCTTCTCCTGGCTCTAAACTACCTCCCTGCCAATTTTCAGCTAAATCGGTTCAGCCGTTCTTGAGTTATAAGCGAAGTAACTAACACGACTTTCTTTTATATATATAGATTTAAACATTTCCAAAGGGTATGAGTTTTGGACCACACAATCTTTACAGTCACTATAAGCTGTACATAGCAAAGGTTTTTTAGCACGCTGCCAATATCTTTCGCAAATTGGTGCACAAAGGTTATTTAAAAGATCTATGGTAACATTATTTGATCGAGACATACTTTTACTACAAAACTTAAGGGCAAGATAATGTCTTCTCAGAGATAATGGTGGTATACATAGCTCACTTTCCATAACGTGGATTGGTGTACTTTTTATAAATCCTCCTATTATTCTGAGGACAGTATTTTGAACCTTGTCAAGCTTAGATAAATGAGTTTTTGCACAATTAGCATATAAAAAACAGCCAAAATCAAATTTACTTCTAACCAATGATATGTATAAGGTACGAAGATGCTTAGGGTGAATTCCCCAGCCTGGGCCTGTAAGTATCCTAAGTAAATTTAAACATTTAGAAGATTTTTCTACAAGCATATTCACATGATTGCTCCACCGTAGCGATCTATCCAGCGAAAGTCCTAAATATCTAACATTATCTTCAACAGACAACATTATTATTAACGTTTAAATTTATGTTTAATCTCTTATGCCCTCTATTAAAAATACATACTTTAGATTTCTTTGCAGATAACTGAAGCCCTATATTATCTAGTAAAATCATCATAGCGTTTAATGCCGCTTGTAAATTAGTCTCGCAATCATTCAAATTTTTGTGACTCGTATACAGTACAAAATCATCTGCGTACTGAGCTACAATAACATTAGTGATTTGCTGGCTAATGTTGTACGTAATAATATTGAATAGCAGTGGAGATAAAGGATCCCCTTGTGCAAGTCCTCTGTTAGTATGTCTTTCATCTAAAATACTACTTCCTTGACCGAACCCTTTTTTAATTGTAAGGTGTCTTTCGTTTAAGAATGACCAAAGATATCCGCAAATACTTTTTCCTACTCCTAATTGGTCGAGAATATTAATAACTTTATCAACTAAAACATTATTGTAGGCATTTTCGATGTCAAGAAAACAAGAAACTGTTGGCACTTTTTTAGCGAAACCTATTTGTATATAACTTACTAATCTTGCTAAACAATCCATGCACGAGTGAGCCCTTCTGAACCCACATGTTAATGGCGAAAAAATTTGTTTTTTTTCTATATACCATTCTAAACGCTTAACCAACATACTATGAAAAATTTTACACAAACAGGATATAAGTGAAATAGGTCTAAGCTTGGGTTCAGTATCAAACTCACTACCTAATTTAGGTATAGGGACTATCAATATTTTACGCCACTGACTCGGTACACAGCCCAATCGAAATATAGCGTTATATATATTTAAAAGCAATTCTTTTCCAGACAGAGGTAAATTATAAATCATTGAGAACGTAATACCATCACTACCTGGAGCAGTGTCTCGGTTCTTTAAACAACTTTCTAATTCTTGTAAGATAAAAGGAGTCTCGAGAAGATCATTATTTGAAATTAAAGTAGGGGCGCAATTAGACACAGAGTCTGGAGTTAGAGATCGAAGTAATTCTTTTTGTTTATCATCTGGAACCGAGAGCTGGGTATGCCGAAGTCCTTTAAACCATTGCATCTTGTTCCACATGTCTAAGATAGATGTACACTCATCAATACTTCCACAAAAATTCCTCCAACTGCAACCTTTCGCCAACCAAAGCTGTTCCCTTACCGCCGTAACTTTGCTCTCCAATATTTCGAGATTATCAGGAGTTGGATTTCTTCTAAAATTCCCCAAAGCCAGTCTTCGTTCTGCCACTAATTTAGATAAAGATGAACACCAGAATTCTCTTGGTTTAAATTTGTTTGTTGGACCAGTATTTAATCTTAGTAAAGGAATGCGCCTATTAGCTGCGAGGATAATTTGACTTAAAAAAAAATCCTAGTGTTTCTGAACATCATTAGTATCAAAATTACAACTATTAAATTGAGACGTAATATTTAATAGGTCGCTTTGATATTTATCCCAATCCGCTTTTTTAAAATTCCACCTTATATTATACTCTACGTTACTACTAAAACACATAGTGATTTTAATCATTAAATGATCGCTGCCTAAATTTTCATTTAATACTATCCATTTAAAATATATTGCAATATCTGAAGATGCAAACGTAATATCAGGCGACGATTTTTGTAACAAACCATTTACCAATTTAATGCGAGTGGAATCTCCGTTATTTAAAGACACAAAACCGTGCTCCAGTGCAGAATCTATTATTTGCAGACCCCTACTATCATTTTTGTATGACCAATTCGTGTGATGGCCATTGAAATCACCCGCTATTATTGTTTTTTTATTTATAAGACTAAAAATGTTATCCCAATCTGCTTGACGTGTTTGGACTGACGAAGGAATGTAAACAGAGATAATATTTTCTAAATATTTACAATTTAAAATCTTTACATGGACAATTTCTATACCTGGATTGATGGCATTGACGGAGCAAAGATGTGATTTTATTGATTTATGTACAATGACTGCTACCCCTCCATAGGAGTCGGGCCTATCCTTTCGGTAAACATTGTATCCTCGAATACGAACAGGTGTTAATTCATTCAACCAAGTTTCACATATTATTGCTATATGCACGTTTTCACTACACAATATAGAATCAAAATCAACTAACTTAGGCCTTAAGCTTTGTGAGTTCCACTGAACAATGTTTATATTAAAGTCTTTAGCCATTCCAGAGGTTTAAGAATTTTTCTGCCCACATCCCACCGGAAATATTTTTCATCAATATTAACTTAAACGTTTCAAAATCGTCTTCAAAACCATAAGGATTTTATCTTCAAACTTATCTTCTGACATAAAAATTTCTTTTAATTTCCAAATCAAGTCACGGATGTTAAACTTTCTGCTTTTTTCTTTATCTTCATCTTTCTCAGTTATCTTATCTATACTATCTTCGTTCTCTGAGCTCGAATCTTCACAATCCATTGATGTTTCCTCCTGTGTGTTTGGTATTTTATCCTTAATTACTTTCTTTCTTTTTTTCTTTGTAGGATTAGATTTTTTTGTTGCATCACTATTCAAATTATTTTCCTTATCTTGAATGTTTACTGAATGTACTTCCACTGTACTTTTTACTACGCTGCTGTATGTTCTAACTGTATTTTTATTCTTATTCTTGCTGCTATTTATTGTGATAACTTCAGTTTCCTCTTTCTTCTTATTCTCCTTTTCATTTCTCAAATAAAGTTCTAAAGCCTTTTTGTACGTAATATTTTCTTCACTCATAATACATCGAATCTTTTTTTCTTTAAGAAAAAAAGGGCAAATTTTGTCTAATGCCATGTGAGGACCGTTACAATTTGGACATTTGTATTCTTCTGTATCACAATTAGTATGATCCTTTCCGCACTTAGGACATATAATTTTATTCAAAGAACAAAACTTTTTACTGTGGCCAAACTTCCAACATCCTGAACATTGTGTTACAGGAAACACAAATTTATCGACGTCGTATTTACAACCATAAGCATCAATGATCTTTGGAATAGACACATTCTTAAAACATAAACGTACTGATTCACTTTCTATCCACTTATTCTCGCTATCTAAACGTTTCATTCTCTTTGCAGATACTATCTCGCACGAGGCTCTTAGATTTTCTAATAATTCTTCTTCACTAATATCAAGGTCTACCCCTCGTATGATCCCATAAGATAAGTTACTTTCGTCAGTAAATTGCGCCCTTATATTCATTTCTGCTAATTTTCGACTTGTAATGAGCTTTTCAGCCTGCTCTTTACTATTAAATACAATAAATATTTTGTATGGACTTTTGTATTTAATCTTACTTACGTTAACTATACATTCATTCCTCAAAAATCTAGCAAAAGCCATCTGTTTCGGCATAATTTGTTGTGAAAATAAACAAACTTCATATTTTTCTTTTTCTGTTGTATAATTACTATTTATGTTTCTGTTTACAACTACATTAGAATCCATATATGACATATTTTCCGTAGAACAACTTCTAATCAAACGTTTTGAACTTTTCTTTTGGACTGTTATAAAACCATCTTCACTGCCGTCTTCACTCTCTCGCGTACGTTTTCCGTTTTTCCGGTTCTCCAATTCTTGTAACTCTCTTTGACATTCATTTAATATCTCCGAATCACTTTTATCTTCATCGCTTGACTTCTCCTCCATTATAAATTATAGAGGGTAGATATATAAAAAACAATATCACTCAATCGTATAATATTACTGCGTGCGTTCGTCACAACGTTCCGCGCGCAACTCGAACTCTGACTTTGACTTTTATTATTAGACCTCAAAAGTATTAAGAAGAATATAATAACTTTTAAACTAATTAACAAAGCCAATGTAACCTTTTTAGTAAAATAGCAATTTTATAATCAGTCTGTTGCGAAAAGTTACATCATACTAGTACATATTTATATTTTAGTATTCATAGGTCACTAATAAAAAAACATTATGGACTATGCCAGTTACTAAATTAATTCAAAGTTGTTAGAATTCGAATGACGTCCGGCGTCAATCGATACTATGACGACGACACATCCGGAGTCCGGAACTTAAACGTATATCTTATCTATTAGGTACAGTGATATACATACATAATATGTTGTTGATCCTAATTGAAAGAATATGAAAGTAAACTTTTTAGTCGTTATAGACATTTATTATTTAAAACTATTTAATGTAAACGTTTATTTATGGGATACTTTTCAATATGAAAAAATCTAATACTTATTTTAATAATAGTAACAATACAATTTCAGATATTTAAGGCTATTTTTATCGACACTCATCATGTTTATTGTTATAGCGATTATTAGTTATTAAAATAGACATTTTAATTTACGTATTGGGTATTTTTAGATTAAGGATCCATAAACAGCGTAATTTTATTAACTTGTAAATAAATATGAAACACGTGCGTGCGAAGCTGTAGAAAAAAGCTAGTCGAAAGCGTGATAGATTTCTATTTTAACTTTATCAAAACTTTCTTTGTACAAATAGCAAACAGTAAAAGTGCAATTTTACACACACATCAAGTCGGTCGAGTTTTGACGTTTGCCGGTTATCGCGACGTGATGACGTCATATCCGGTCCCCGAGCACCCATGTCATCAATTCGTACTGCTTTATACCTTTTGACTGGTCGCTACACTCTAATCATCGACTACGATGAACGATATTTAAAAGAATGGTTTTTTTCTGCTATCATTTAAAAATTATAATTGACTAATCTCTTTACATATATGTATATGTGTGTATAACTGTACTGTGTAACTCAGCAAAATTTACTTGTTCTAAATGGTTCTATACTCTATACCTGATATTTTAAGTTAATAAAAGTGATATAATAGCTATCCTGTGTTAAAAAAAGAATTTTAAGTTTATGTTCTGAATTTATTTTTAAAAAGTCAAGAAAAGATATTTGTGACAAAGTAGAAATGATTCGCTCATGAAAATATCAGAGGTGCGAAACCCGAGATTTGAACCCACATCGCTCAGTTTCCCAAGCGAGTGCGTTACCACTGGGCTACCACTGCCTATCTTGCTTTATTTTATTATAATAAAAAAAATAAAGGAGTAACCGTGACCATGGATGCTGTAAAGCATTCGAAACTTCGGGAACCAAAAATCAAAATAAATCCGCGAAATAATCCGAAAAGATAGTTTTATTTATAAATCGTTAAAATAAAGTATGGTTTATTATAATAAAATAAAGGGGTGCACGAAAATATTTTTAAAATAAAAAAATCGGAGAGGCTCAACAGAGGGAAGGTTGGCAAACCCTAGCTTAGACGCATCCTTCGGACACTATTTCCGACAGACTATCTCTCGGGAAATACTTGATGCATCGAAATACAAAGCAACCTGTGTCACTCCACACTTTCAATCTCGATGCAAAAGATTATGTTAATTCCTCACTGAGAAAGGAATGATTTCACATTTATAAAGTAAAGATTTGTATTACATGATACAATTATTATTATCCATAAAATATTTATTATATTTATACAGAAACCATGATATAACGTACATTTTATCAATATTTGTATCTATACGTAGTATAAAACAAAGTGCAACGGAATTTTAATGCAAATTTCAGCAATAGATAAAGTGATTAAAGAGGAAGGGTTATATGTATAATACATGCATATTATATACATACTAACCGTTCAAACGTACATAGGAGTGAAACCGAGCAAAGCTAGGGTGATTCGCTAGTTTATAAAATATGTTAATGATATTGTCAAGTTATTCACAATGATCAAGATAAGATATATAGGTAGTCATAAATGATCTAACTTTTATATTGTCAGTTACTTAATTAGAATAAAATCCATTTATCTTTCAAAGGGAAAATATTAATCTCTTTCAATTAATTAAATTGTTGAACGGATAATATAATTAGCTTAATTGTTCTTACAATAAGCCTATAATAATCTTAATAAGCTTAAAAAAATACATTCATCTTTGACCTCATAGAAAACAAACAACTAAAAACATTGGTACTTACTAAGAAATAGGATAAAGGCGTTTAAACTCTTTATTTATCGGATCTTTATTAGAATAGCAAAAGCTTTTTGCCTTTTTTTTGTTTTTTTACTATATTTTTTTACTAATTATTTTTTACTAATTATCCACATCAGTCAAGATTATTTTACTTAGGGGAGTAAGTAAGTCTAAATCTTGATTTTGTTTAAAATGTCTCGTGTTTTTATCCAATTAGTTTTCTCAAGGTGTTTCAACTTGTGTTAATTAGCAACAGTATCAGCCGTTGCAGAACAATTTCTCGAAACGCTAGTAATTCTGCGTTGTAAAAGATATTTATCTGCTATTATCTCAAGGGAATTGTGAAATAGTAATCAGTCAAAAAGGGAATGTGTTTAAGCATTGATAAGATTTATTTATATATTTTATTAGCATATTCTAATCGTTCTACTATTAAAAGCCGTAGCGTTAATGTTGTTCCTCGATTTTTAGCTCTTTAGCTTTTAAAATAAAGGAACAATATACTTAAAAGGAATTTCTTAATTTATGATATTAATTGATAAAAGACACGGGACTGATATTAAATACTAATGATTTTATGTATTTATTATTTAGTTTATTATGACAGGTATAAAATTAGATAGAAGAAACTAGCTTTGGGCACGCTAAAACTACAAAAAAAACTCTAAAAAGGTAGTTTCATACAAATTTTCATCTCAAAGTTTCAAGTAATTCTGATAATAAATATGTTTTTGGATTGTGTTACGAATATAACGTGTTTTCCCGTGAGAATTAGATAATTTCCCGCGGTAAAAAGTAGCCTATGTCATTTTCCAGCCCTCCAACTATCTTTAAATAAAAAATCACGCCAATCCGTCACTTCGTTTCGACGTAAAAGAAGGACAAACAAACAAACACACTTTCACATTTATAATATTAGCATGGATACGGATTGACATTGAAAAGTATTCTTCCTGATTTTACATCAATAAATGATTTTCTATTTTTACTTTTTTAAGCGTTTATGAGCTTAGAGTCCTCTTGTTGAAAAAAATAAGTAGTTAATAACATTTACATAAATTAAAACGGTTTTTTATCATTGATAATAGGTACAAAAATATTAATTACATTGTTATAAAATAATTCGAATTATATTATACTTGAATTGATTATTTTATTAGAACTCCATAATATGAAGGAAACAAGCAAATGTGGAGGAAATTTTCATTTCCGTCAATTGAAGCCTTCACAAATGAGATCATATGCTCGTGTCTGATCCGAGTAAGTTAGTCTACATACTTGCTCATGGCTATCAAAATCTCAGTTAGGAACATAAGGTTAGAATGGTTCTGGACCTTTTCCTGCTCTATTTCAAACTTGTTACGTTGAATGTTGGATAGACTAAGTAAATATTTTGCTTGGCTGATTAAATTAAACAAAACTAGAAAATATTTTGGATTTAATATATAAATAATAAAGTTTATCTTCACTAGAGAATATTATAATGAAAATTCGATTAATTATATTTTGTAACTTTTATCGATATTTTATATTAGTTTATGGAGTTAGAGGTAGTAGTTTATGTTGCTGAAATGCAAGATATGTGTATCATATAAAAGTATTTGCGGAAAACAACTTTTAAATAAAGCTGTTAGGTCAGACGCGGGTGCTGTCCGACATAAAATCGATGTTGTTACAAGCCGATAATCTAATCGACGATTATTCAATCACTCGTTGCCTTCAACAAGTAAAATATTTCAAATATCGATTAGTTTACGTCATGTTTTAACTATTTTAATATTTGTATATGTAATACATCTTTATTTGTATATACTCGTAATTTTATATGTAAACGTTAAAACACTTGGATCATATAAATTATATTTGAATTTATGAATCCGAGCAGAGAATGAAATTCCTATATATAATATATGTTATATTTATTTTAGCATGTATGACTCGAGTCAAGGTTAATGGATGAACAAGTTACGAAAGAGTACGAAATTACTTCGGACATGAATAAAATCATGACATTTCATATATTACAACGTATATAGAACTTTTCAACCGATTAAATAAAAACATGGGTATCTAAGGCAGACTATTAGTTGTATTGAGATTACTCCCTTCCCTTTTATATAATTTGCTGAACAAAGGCACAGACGGATTCTATAAGGCATTGTTACTCTCAATAACTTTATAAACTAGTGGTTGGTATAAAATACACCACCTCGATACAATTTTCAGCTAAGCTCTAATATATTTATTTCATGTAGTAAAAACACGTTGAAACTTTCAAATACAAATTCCTATTCTCATTTAAAAGTGTTTTATAAAATGCACTAGCGGCTCATCGTCGCTTCGCTCGGGTTGCCTCAAGAAAAACGAATACTAATCTATCCCATGGGAACCGTTCATTTTTCTGGGATAAAAAGTAGCTTATGTGCTATTCCAGACTATAATCTATCTCTATACCAAATGTCATTCAGATCAGTTGTTATGGCGTGATTGAGTAACAAACATCGAAACATCCAAACATCCATCTAAACTTTCACATATAAAATTTATTTCTAAACTCAACTGAATATCACGTAAATAAAAACGCGAAACTAGGGGGCTTATATAAGATATTGATTGCTCTACAATGGTTGAAGAAAAGAAACCTAGAAAAATATATAT